AAGGAGGTAAGCGAAAGGCCAAATTGCTACCCAAAAAGCCTTTAATAAAGTTTTGTAGTTTCAGAAGCATCCAAAAAATTCTAACGAAGCACAACACTTGTTATTCACATCGAGCAATCCTTCATTTACTCATACAGTGGGCAAAGTGCGCAACAGAAAATATCATACAATTACCTAAGTATATGAGCGTAGTCAAGTTTTTTTGGCACTTAAGGACAGTGTGGCAGGTGTTCGCAGATAAATCTTGGTAAATGATCAGACAGTTAAGAAATCCTTTGCATTACTAATTATAAGTTGAATCGCAATTTTCCCCTCGAGGTTTGGCGCTTGAATAAAAAATTATCTGATAATGAAGACATGATTTAAAACAAGAGCTGATAGGTAAGGAAAATTAATTCTCAAGAAATTAATCGATGCCCAATCTATCGCCAATAACTCTTCAGTTAGAGTTGAAAAGTAAAAGTGTTTGAGTTAAAAGAGCCGGTTTCTCGTTGAAGATTCGTCGAAGAATTTTTATATCATAATTTTTGCATGGTAATTTTAAATTGGGGTGACTGTCTTATTGTCTATTGCAACAGTTCAAAGCCATTTAAAAATTTAGTTTCCATGAGTAATATGCTTTTCTACCACAAAAAACTTGTCTTTCGTGGTTAAAAAAGTCAAAATTCCCTTAGGAAATTTATAACTATTTTCATATAGTCGAGAACCCTCTACTAACTCTACTTATTAAGAGTCTTTATTCATTCATTCATTCATTCATTCATTCATGTAGTCACAGCATACGTGTGACTTTACAAACAATTAATTTAAGTACAATTATATAAAATTAAAATGACACATTTTAATAAAGGATCTCTTAAAGCGTTCTGTTTTAACAGCAGGTAAAATAAAATCATATCATCTGTTTCGCAAAAATCTCTGTTTCTTTGGAGGTAATAGTTGATAAAGGGGGTGGGAAGGAGTATCTGTGATAATTTTCCATAGCTTACTGTCTCGGTTTCTTATAACTTCAGCTATTACATACAGGTTGTTGGTGTAACCAAACCTAAACGCTCGCTTAAAAAAACCTGTCAATGCGATCAAGGCATTTACTTTGATATGCCGCTCCCCAAATCTCAATTCCATATAAAAACAGGGACATAATTAAGAGATCGAATAATTTAGTCAGTTGCTC